TGTTTGCCACCTGACTCTGCCCAGTGACGTCATCATGTGCGCTATAGAAGAAGGTCTGTGATTCGTTGACTAAAATCGTCGACAGTGGGTCTCGTTGAAATCTCGTTACATAGGCATCGGCTCAGATGTATGTAGGGCGGAATTTTAAAAAAATCACAAAATCAAAATCAAAGTAAAATAATAAAATAAAAAGGCATTAATAACAAAAGTAATAAAACATAAAATTAAAATAAGTTTATAGCCAAAATAATTAAAGCCCGTACACTACATCAGATTTTAATCAGATTGGTACTACATGTGGACCTCTCTCAGATTTGTTCATTTTCTAATGATATCTTCTGTTCTTTAATTGCCATGTGCATTGCTAACAGCGAAGCTATCTCAGCCGACAGGCTGCTTATTTTTTACATCCAATTAAGAATATGTTTGAAGGACGAACAATCACATTGTGTTTTATGTGGAGTAATGTTTGAATTCTGGGTTGCTAAAATATATACGTATTTGTTCATTTGTTGCAGGATTTAAATGGGTCAATGACACTGGATCAGGTAAATGAGAGATACTGGAAAGTCAATAAACCATTAGAAATGTTTTATTCCTGGAAGAAGAAACAAACTTAACTTTACACTGGAAGAAAGTAACCTTTATGAAATGGATGACTGACATTCCAATATTGAGGAAGAACATGCTTACCCCTGGCTGATATAAACTATACAGGCACCTTCCTTCAGGATTACATTTCCACATTGCATTAAATTAACAGGTTGTCTGAGGTCTGCACTATGAACTAAAATAATTCTACCTTGGTGTAACACAACCTCCAATACTTATCACTTACCAAGCAGATTAAAGTTATGAAGCGACGAGGGGAGTTAGGTATTATTTAAAGATGACAAAGAGTAGATAGTCTAGCGAGGCATTACCGGAATGCTATATCCACCGATGTCTTGAAGATAGACAAAAATATCTTCCTTCAACTTAGAATCTCAACGCTCCAATTATTTAGAATCTTATTAAAGTGTCTTTGATGGGAGACTTGTTATATCCTGATTTTCAACATAAGGAGACTTATATTGTACATGGTGTGCAAAGCTTTTTCAGTGAAAGTGTTACATACCCAAATATATACGCTTTACAGATGTTCGTTATCACACAACGCGTGTTTGACCTAACAATTTTACATGTGTTGTATGTGGAACCAAGGCCCTTTAAATCCGATGTACAGTGCTAGTGATACGCCCAATTTATTATAAAATCCAGCTCTTTTGTTCTACTACTTTTTCACTTCAAATGTCTTTTTCTTATTTCTACACAAAATAAGTAGGAGTGGCAAGTGTATTTCATACACAGATGTGTTATATTATTTTGTCTCCATGCTATGTTTGTTAGAATCTACTGTCCTGCTTTTATTATCTGTTATGTTATTATAACCTTAAATGTTTTGTCATCATGAACTATTCTAATAAAAACTTGCTGCTACACATTTCATCATGCTACTATTACCGGTAATGACTGGGAATAAAATGTCAAAAAAAAGAACTCAATATATCAGAGCAGTCTCAAAGCATAGAAACTGACCCACTCTGTCAGATGAACTTACCACGACCCGCACCTTTATTGTGGCAGTTACTAGATCCCCTTTCTGTCATATTCTGCCTGGTGACAGATGTGTCCCTTCTCCTATACACTCACTTCATCCCAGAGTGGGACTTTTTGATATATACACTATTACAGTGAATGTGCTTCCAAACCTGCCACTGACTTATGGTATTGAGTCACAAATACCCCCCCCCCCCCCTCAAAAAAAACCTATCAAAGCCCAATTGGTGAGAAACTCGCCTGTGCACAAATATATACTATAGTAACCATTCAAAACAATTTTCTGCTCTCGCTCGCATCGAACAGATTTTCTAACTTATGATTTTCACTATTTTTGTAACAAATTATACCGTGTACTAGAATATTTCAAAATCGCACGGATTCATCAAATTATATTTTCTACAGTGTTCTTGAACAATGAAAATTATTTCTAATACTATATTTTTGAACATAAGGTAGGAAGTACAGAACGGATAAAAAACTGCTCAATATTAGCACTTGTGAGAAAGCTAGGGAGCCGACATTTGTTTTGCATGCATGGAGAATAAGCTAACTGGTTTTATTACCTATCATGAAAAAGGGTGTTGATGGATGAATACATGTTACATTGAACACTTCATTACCAGTTCACTTTGCAGCTACAGGTATATACATTATATTTATATACCCATCTACCTACCTAAATAATAAACAAAAGTATACACATAAAAATATTGACAGCATTAGTGGGGTAGAATTGTTATGGACATATTTAGTACAATCACTTCTCCAAGGCATCTCAATTGGTTCCTTGGGCAGTTTTTATCTAACCACAAACCTGTCTACCCATCGAACCAGACTGTAAACCACTTTAAATTTTATAAGAAATTTCAGAAATTGAAATACCATAAAATCCAGTTATAAATTCTAACAATGTTTAGAATGGTTGTAATTGCACATGTTCATATTTAGTGATGCTACATATGGACACCGTACACGACTCAGATAACCATAATGAAAAAACACTAAGAAGAGTATTTCGCATGGCAATGACCAAGACAAACTGGTACAGGGGGGGGGGGGGGGGGGGGGGGAGGTCCCATTTCCATCAAAACCTGGAATTTGCAACACTATTTTGTGAAAGGTGA